CTTACAAGGGGTTAATCACTAAATGGAAGGGTAATTCAAGCAGAAATCAAAAAGCCAGGATTGTTGGATTTCTATCCCCCACTTTGCAAACAATTTACTCAATGGCCTTATGTAAATACAGTCTCACTGTGAAGCTGCATGCACCTAGAAAAATCAAGATCTATTATGCTTTACAACACTTAAGTGGTAACTGCAAGTTTAATGTTCAGACATCCATATAATTTTTTCAGATGAAAGACAATAACCCCTTGATTTAAAATACTTCCAGAACAAAACATAGAACTGACTGATGAATATCAGTTGTTCACTGATCACAATTGTTTACAATTAAGTTTCTACATTTTGCCAGACAGTCTTCTTTCATTTCTAGCACCAAAATTACTTCAGTATTTCCATTTATTAACAAGTATTTCCTAAGCACTCCAGGAAATAAGCAGATCTGGTTTTTTATGGACAAATGCATTAGTATTAAAGACTGGACTACTAAGACTACTTCCTAATTTCACTTAGATCATAGGAGAAAATCCCAACCAACAAACAAAACAACACACATAGTAGTAACATATTTCCTTCATTAACAAAGGAAAAATTATTCATATATACAGTTGAAGAAGAGATATTAAAAATGTCTTATGTAAGCCACTTCTCAGGAGTCTACGTTTTACTAATTCTACAAATATGGCAATCCTTGTTTTACAAAAATCTGGGCCTCAGAGAATTCTAAGGATCAAATTTAATGCATATGTAGCTGGGATTTACAAGTGCGTCATTTTGTAATTTCTCTTTGAAGATGAGTCTTACCCATCTTAAGTTGCCAAGTTTCATATATTTCACATCTTGTGAACTCAGTTTGGTTGGTTAAAAAAAAGGAATGAAGTAATGCTCTGTGCACTCAAAAGGATTAAAATTTGGCATGACTAAAGTGAACAGCAGCTAACAATCTTCTAAAGCATTTCACACTGGAAAGTTCATCTGACCTTATAAAAATTAACTTGGATGCAAAATCCATTGCTATGAGGCCCATAGGGAAGTACTGCAAAACTAGAATCCTTCAACATATAATAGCATAGTTCCCTGAAATTTTTTTTAAAATCTGACATGCATGAATGCTTTGCACAAATAATAATATATTAATAATATAATAATATATTGCTGAAGACAAGTAGTAACACAGCTCCAGAAATGATCAACATCAGTACAAGATAAATGTACAAAGAAGTCACACCTTAATTGATCTCTACTCCTTTCAATTGCTAAGTCTCACAATTCTCATAGCATCAGCAACCATTTTAAGACATTTAAACTGCCTTAATTTTAAGAAAATTTTCTCCAAATTATGATGTACAATTCTTCACATCTGCCAACTACACATGAACCAAAAGGCATCTCAAATCAAGTTAAAATAAAATTCACATTGGTTTCTAGAGTTCAGAATTACTTAGGTGACAACAGGAGAGAAAGAATTAGTTTTGAAATCTATGCCCTGCACATCCTCTGATATCTTTGCCATAAAAAAGTCATGGTCAGGATGCCAGCTGTTCACTAAACATAATATAAAACAGGGCTAACAACTCTCAAAAAGCATGTGGTCCAGAAAATAGCAGAAGGAATAGTAATGCTCCACTCGGCGCTAGACATGATAATGTGTACCATGTAAACGACAGCTGCTTGGAAACTGGAGCATAACCCTATATGGAGGAAGGCAAAAAAAAACAAACAAACAAACAAAAAAAAAACCCACAAAAAACAACACCCAAAAAGACAGTAATCCAAGTGCTAGAACAGAAGCAATCCTCTTCTACTCTTGTAACTCATGGAGAACTGCTGCTGGTCATCAGACACATCACAGCTGAAGCCACAGCTCTACAAATGCTACGCAAGCATGTCCTATTTTTAAGAAAAAGGCAAGAAGCTTAAAAAAGCCCCAACAAAATACCACCAAAGAAACAATAGGAAAAAAACTACAAAATATCCGTAACTGCTGGTTTCTTCAACAGCAAAGTTTAAGACAATTACAGAATGACAGAACAAGGAGCTGAAAGGGACTCACAAGGATCACTGAAGTCCAGCTCCTGGCCCTGCACAGGACATCCCCAAGTCACACCACAGTGCCTGAGAGCACTGTCCAAATGCTTCTTGAACTCTGTCAGGCTGGTGCTGTGACCACTTCCTAAAGGAGCCTGTTCAGTGCCCAACCATCCTCTGGGTGAGAAACCTTTTCCTGATATCCAACCTAAACCTACCCTGACTCAGCTTCAGGCCATTCCCTCGGGTCCTGCCATTGGTAACCACAGAGCAGAGATCAGTGCCTACCCCTCCTCTTTCTCTCACAAGGAAGTTGCAGACTACAATGGGGTCTTCCTGCATTCAGGCTGAACAGACCAAGTGACCTCAGCTGCTCCACATATTGCTTCTTCTCAAGGCCCTTCACCATCTTTGTTGCCCTCCTTTGGGCACTTCACAATAGATTAATATTTTTCTCGTATTGTGGTGCCCAAATCTGCACACAGGACTCATTAAGGACATTTGATACTGCAGATAAGTATCATTTTACTTCAGGAGAATCTCAACTAATGTTTTTCAGCACTTTAAATCCAAATAGTGGGAAGAAAAATGCAAAGAGTAAGAGATCAGAAAGTACTTTCTGACGGGTAAGTTTTTGAAAACCAAAACAGGAAAATGTAAATGATGAACACCCAAAAGGAAATGCTGACATCATATTGACAACTTCTTACAGCACATTTTTAGCTGCTATTTATCATTTTTAAAAAAAGTCAAGAAAACCATTATTTCTGTCAATAAATGAGTTATTATTTTTAAGAATTCATAGTCACTGTACTAACTATGAAAACCCATCAACCAAGTCTCCTGATTGTCTAGCTTCTAACAATGCTTTAGCAATGTTCCATGAAATTTTTTAAAAAAATCCTTTTGGTTAATCTTAAACCCCCTCCTACTTCCTCAAAGAAAAAAAGCTGTATGTACTCCAAAGAACTTACCTAAAACAACTTTAAGCATATCCAAAGAGAAGGAATTTTCCATAAAATAACTTCTTAATACCATGTTTTGTGGAGCAAATCACTTTGAAATAGAAAGTAATTAGCATTTTCACCACAGGAGACAACTTATACCATGAAATACACCTTGATTTCCTCCTTGAGATCTACTACATTGCTCGACAGTGAGCAATATGCAAAAAATTGTAATTAAGCTTATTACAAAAATGCAACACTACAAATGTTTAGCAGTCTGATGACAAGACTTTAATTTCAAGATTATTTACTATATTTATATAATGAATCAGTAGGATTACATTCAATTGTAAATATATTTGAACCACAGATCTTTATGAAGTTCTTCCATACCATTATTGTAGTTGTGCAACAGTTATATAGTCTGAAGTATACAATAAATACTCAGATGAGACTATCATATACCACACAACACTCTTATAAAGCTTTCAACAGAACGAGCTGACATTTTAACCCTACACTTTGAAAGAAAGAAATCAGGATGCATTTAAGACAATCTTTTTGACCACTGGGTGCCACTCTTGTTCTGCATACAATAAGCTGCCTGACACTAACTTAGTCTTCTCAGCCTTTTTAGTTTTTCCCTCAGCATTAAACAGCTCTGATTCTTCTAAATTGAGAGGAAAAGATGGAAAAGCTTTTACACAAGTTTTTATTATGCACTCCTTTTCAAAATCCTTTATAACTGCTTCTAGCCCCAAGGCAATTCTGAAAGAAGTCTATTGCACACAGACCTTATGATATATGAAGAACTTCCTTTATGGTGAGGTTATAGAATAACCCATCCATATTATGTCTAAATCATCCCATTCAATTGAATAGGTATCTGCTGCAACTGTGTGGCCCTATATGGATATTACTACTAACAGCTTCATATTGAGTTTGCACCACTGTAAGACTGTCAGGTTTGCCCTGTCTGAGCTTTTTCTGAGCTGCTTACAATCTTTTTTTTTTTTTAACTTGCTGCTAATTTAACAGCAATTTTTCCAACTGGCCAGGCATCTATAGCTAATTTGGTTTATTTCTGTTGATCTTTGTATGGTACAACCACAGTTTTAAATGCATAGCAGTAACAAGGAGTTATTCTATGATATTATGACTAACACCACGATGCAGTATCTACAGATACAGGCCTGGTACAATAGACATTTTGAGAAGTGGAAATGCAGGATGTGACATATAGAAGCACAACCATCAAATGACATTCTTAGATCAGACTGCTAATATTGCACCTATAGTAACAATCAATTCTTGTGTAAATATTTATGGTGACTTTCATCCTTGTCCGTAAACTTTTGAGTGTAACACTATCCTGTGCACTTTATTTGCTAACTCAAACAATCCATATCAAACATCATTGCAGGCATATGTATATTACAGCCCTATGATTTACTATTAGTCCTTAAATTTCATAAACAGGAACTTGAAGTACATACCAAAAAGGATTCATAGAAATTAATGTAACATATGATGGAAATATATATTCATCAGTTCATCTGAGAAAATAGGGAGCTCAGAAATCTGTGGTGAACTTCATAATCCCATTATCTAACCCACCAAACTTTAAAATGTCACAGGCATCATTACAGTGTAGCCCCAATGTACTGCAGCCACAGAATCAAATAATAGACCAAAGAATTCTTTTAAATCATGTAAGAAGAGTGACTGATCATTTGTGCGACTAATGCATTAAATTACTTACACTTGCAGGTTACCATCCTAAAGATGTTAGCATTATGCCTCCTATCCTTACTAAGCAAATACTAAAATAGAGATTTTCATGTCATATAATTTCTTTTATTTCTCTTTCAATACAACTAAGACCTATTTCTCCACTATTGTCATTTATTTAATAGATGTCTTCTCCCTGTTATTTCACTGGTCTGCTCTACAAGTTGTTTTGATGACCAAGTAAAATGCCCCAAATATTCACAGCTTATGCATGGCACTACTAGAATCAAAAAATACCTGTATTCAGGTCTTGTAGGATGATCATCCCTTGCCCATCTGTATCCTGATTCATCCTGCAAAACATACATGCAAAACGACTGCATGACATGTATCTCAGTGTCAGATGTCAAGTACAGTTAGTCGCCAAATCATATTTAATTACTACAAAACCAAAGCATTTAATGAGCTAAAAAAATATTAACCCCCACAGCAAGTATCTTCTCAATTTATTCCCTGTATCCCTTTACTTTTTATTTTCTTCCTCTGTCAGTATTAAAGAGAGCAACTTTGCAATGCCATACAAAACAAAAAAACTACAGAAGTTTCCAAAGTACATATATGTACTCTGACTTAAAGAATTTCCACTTCAAAATACAAACTACCGTCAACGCCTTGAAATAACAGAATTCTAAACAGCTGGGTTGCAGGGGGCAACAATAACGACCTTTCCAGTATTTTAATTACCTAGCATTCAAGCTTTAATGGGAAAATAAACATCATAAACATGTGAGAATAATCACCTTACGTACACCTCGGTGTGGAGGGCCGCTTCTTCGGGCATGGGAAAAACTACGACCCTCCTCATAGTCTCTGTACTCAGCGTGACCGTAATCGTCATAGCGACTGTAATTCCCGTCCCCAGGTCTCTCAAGCAGTGGTGGTTTCTTGGGCACAATGTTTACTATTCTATGGTAATCACCCTAAACCACAAAACAAACAAAATCATATTACTTTTAACAGCTGAAAATCTGTAATGAATAAATAACAGCTTTTTGCTAGAACACAAAATTAATTTATTTCCTTCAAATAACATGTCATACACCATTTGTCAACTAAAGAAATTCTTTGTTTATTAAGTACAAATTGCACAGCTGCAAAAGATACAAATTCAGTTTTACTAGAACTAAGCTTTATATAAGTCAACTGTAAATAAAAGGAAGTGAAAATAGGAATGCAAGATTTTGTATTTTATATCTTCCTTTAGGAAAACATTTTTAATAGGCCTTAAAAGCTACAAATGCAGACTGGCATTAGTATGCGCAGTTTGGCAGGGTGGGGAGGGGAAAAACACTCAAGCTATGTTTTTAACAGTAAGAACTCATGATCTAATACACTACTTTCTGCAGAAAAATACACGGCATTCACAAACTGCTAAATATTGTCAAGCAAAAAAATCTCTTAGTTCTGATTTCAGAAACCACCCAACAAACACACTGGAGGGCAATCCAAAGCCAGACTACAGCCAGACTGGTGCAAAGTAGAGACTACATACACAGTCACACTGCTTGATCTACTCTTACCTCATTGAACATCCTCCACATGTAATTATCATTATTTTTTTTAGTTTGGTGTCTTACAAAGGTGTGCTGTGCAGTTTCAATAAAACTGCTCCATGCTTTAACCTCACCCAGAAATCCCCACCACATAACTATACAGACACACAGAAGAACAGTTGTATGAAAGCTTGACAAGTATCCTACTTGCATAATTGTGTCAAGTGCTTGCAATTTTATGTTCTTTACCAGTATCTTGGTTTCTACTACAATCTATACTTGATATACAATTAGGACCCAGTTTAGATGAGGACACATCTTTTGCTGTCTTAAAAAAAAATACTTAATTCTGTATCATTGGCACATCCCATTTCCAACATACTAACCAATCAGCAAACACTAAACATATTAACAGATTGAACAAATTAATTCCATTTCACTTTTCTAATCAAAATTAAGTCAGCCTTCTACATGTGGACACAAATACAATGGCACAGGCTTACAAGGACAGAAAGTACCTTCCAATTATCTTGACTCTGCGGAGTTGTATGAGAAGGAACTCCATATCCATCTTTCAGGATGGGAGAGAGACACTGTATCTTGGTTTGCCCAGCTATTGGGGGTGTTGTTTTGGTACAGATGGATAATACTAATTGTAATGAGTGTACTCTGCTACTCCCTTCAATCCCAGTTCCAAACACATGTAATATAAAGCTAGCGTTGAACCATCTAGTTAACTCTTAAATCAAGATGAGTGCATACATCTTTTAGACTGTAAACTTTCATAATGCCTAATCACACATTGTTCCCTGGACAGCCTGAAAGACTACGGGAATTTAGAAATGTCAATGACACAATGGTTAAATTAAATTGGCAACACGTTAGTCAAACGACTTAAAAAAAAAATCTGTGAAAATACATTCTGGCTCTCCTCTTGTCCTATCTTGATAAATATTTTGGAGAAGGAGGTAGCCAAACACCCTGTGAAAAATCAATCTGATTTCCAGCTTGCTGAAAGTGCAGAAATGTTGCCGGTGCCTCTAAAGAGAGTTAAAAATGTCACAGAGCAGCCAAACACAAATAAACTACTCAATAGAGAAGCCTATGTAACTAGTTACCAAGTTACTACCATTGGTAAGCTTCCAAAGAGACAAGATCAAAATGTAACTGAGGGAATCCAGAAGATACACTAAGTCGGCCACACTATTATTTCAACATTTAATGTAAGTAAAAGAGAAGTCAGATAAGAGGCTCTGGTATGTGAAATTTCATTTTGCCAAAATCACATTACACAGGATGTAAATAGAAATATCAAAATGTATTCTTAAAATTCTATTTACGGTGTAATACCTCCAAAGACAAAGCTACAACCTGTTTTATTTCTTTGTTAGACACTTCAGACAAGGGAGGAAAAAAAATTACCCAACTCTGTGGAAAGGAGAATTCCTAAAAACAGTCTGAAGTTACTCTATAGCACAGCAAGCAGAGCTTCTGCATTTGCTTTTACAAGCATAACGTACATACATGACAGACCACAGAAGACTCTACCTACAAAATAGATTTCTGTTGACACTCTTCTTGTAAAGTGTTTCAAAAGCACAACTTTAGCAAAGATGTACTTTCAACGCTTGTTAAAAACATCTTCTCCTATACTTTAACCTTCATAAAAAAATTGTGTTGGTGACAAAAACAATCATGAAAGAAGTTCCTTTACCACCTCAAGTTACTTAAAAGAAATATTAACATAAAACTATGGAAAAATATAACATAGTATGGCCTTTTGCTCCCCAGAAGTCATTAAAAATCCTGTGTTTAATTACACTAAAAAATCAGTTTACCAAAATAAAAATATTCTAAAACAGTTCCAAAAGATTTGAAAATTAAAGAAAAAGAAACCAAGACTTAATTCTCTAGGCAGCCTATTGTATCTGTGTAGATGCATATGCTAGATTGCTGACTTGAAAGAATGGGGAGAAAAAAGGAACTTGGGGTATACTAGGAACTTGCTCAGGTACACAAATCCAGCCCCTATGGTACAGGTTATTGTATAAAGGTATAATGTTATAATGTTACAGATACAAGGCTTACTACACACTTACATCACCATGAATCCTTGGAGGGAGACGTTCTCTTGGAACTCTTTCATAGTCATATCGCCCTTCAGACCACATTTCATCTCTTCGATATGCCACTAAAGACAACAAAAACACCATTAGTGAAAACCAGACTCATTATGAATGGACAAAAGGACAGTGTGCAGAAAAATAAAGGTTCCAGGATTTCTCCCAATATAATGTATTATGCACAAGCCCTGTACATACATTTTTTATTATTAGCCCTTTAAAATAAGTCTTTCTAGTTATGGAAAGTATGTAATGTACCTGGAGCAAAAATCACTCACAGCATGGGCAAGAACATGGAACTGGAAATTAGTTCAGTATGATCAGTAAAATTACAGGACTTAGAGATATTATAAACAGCTCTACTGAAATATATGCATATTGCAAATACTTGATGTACATACAAGTACATACACACATGCCTTACAGCAATTTTAATACTGTTCTGCTAAAAATACTGCAACTTTAGAAGAAGTAATTCAATGTCTATTTATTAGATTAAATAATTTCTACTAACTTCAAATTATTTCATCAATTCAACCATCTAGAAAGAGATCTAAATGCAGCCCATCATTTCTTAGTACAAAGCCCCACATTTTGATTATATGGATACAATATATTCTTCACATGCAGATACTTCCTGTTTTAAATTGGGAGCCAGCACAAAGAAATAATACCTCTTCCCAGAGGAAAGTGACTTTCAAAGCTGAGTTAGCCATTAAAGACAGGTGGAAAAAACCATTACCCTAAGAGATTCTAGTCACGCTGTGCTAGACAACACAGACTTGAAGAGTTCAAACCTTTCTGTTGATTATAAAGGTGACAAATCATCTACTATACAACACTGAAAATAGGTATGCAACTGCCAGAATTATGTTTTTCAAACCTTCCCCTCAAATAGTAACTCTATCTGTTAAAGACAGTCAATATGGAAAAGTAACAGCAGGCCATATACAGGAGAAAGATGTAATGTTACCTCCTTGGTAAAGGTAAAACACCTTACTGGATATAGACTTATGAAGCTATATAAAATTATTTATTAATACAGATGTTAAGAATCAACATAATGAAAGGGTTTACTAATTGTAAACAGAGGTAGAACTAATTCTGGTATACACTTTTGCAAAACATAACAAACACTCACATACTTACTTTTCTGTCACTTTTAGCAACTCTCCTTCTGAAGTTCCATTCACTTATCTACAAAAAAAACCCTGAGGTTATTAAAAAATACAAATATATTTATCATTAGTACATTTTTTTTCTGTTAAGTAAACCAGACAAGTAAAATCTACATGTTTTAACCGCCTGTACCCTATGATCTGTCTTTGTAAAGAAAGTAAGATTCAGTTGCACTTGATAAAAGGTTAATGAAAAGCTGAATTTAACAAAGGCTTGTCTTTTGGAAAAAGAGAGTGAATGCTGATAAAGAAGCTCTTTCATCCATCTACTACAGGATACATCTATGTTCAGAGACTTTGACTTCAAATTAACCAGATTATCTTCTTAAAATATAGTCCCATTTTATAACAGACTTGACTTTCAGTTTGTTCTACAACCAAGACACAGAACTAGTCTGATGTAGCTACAGATTATAAATCAAAAGCTGACTAAACCAACCAGCTGATCCTAGTTTTGGTAAGGACAAAAGTGAAGGTCCACTGCCCCTGCCATCTCCAGTTGATGTATCCATCTCCATGTAAGAGCTATTATTTCTGAAACCACTGCTCATATTGCTGCATTGGATGGTCAGGTGCATCATCAGAAGCACCTTCCCTGCACTGTCACAGTAACTGCCTCAACTTCTCTTTATTTTGTACTTCACTGACTTTTTCTAGAGCCTTAAAAATGCACACCAGGGCTATATGTGCATGAACAGCTGTCCTGGGGTCACTTTACGGTGACTGTATCCCCAATCGCCTGTTCTATTTATGTTACATATTAATTTCTGCACCTTTAGGACTGGTTCTGAGAGGGAAGGGGGGAAAAGAAGAAGCAGCAGTTTATGTTCAGAAACAGCACTCACTCCCCTGCGTGCTACTCTGGACTGTGCTGTCTGCAGCACAGACAGACAGCAAGACAGAGCTCTCCTTTTAGTTATTTAGCTAGCTGAGGCAGAGAAGTCCCCCAGACTGGTTTTTTTTTTTTTCCTGCTAATATAGGTTTTTATCAGGCAGACTACACAAGTCTCTTGAGATTTTTTTGCACCACTGGACTTTCTTTATCTAACAATCAATTGTTAATTTTTTATTCTTTTTTGCTTTATAAATAATATCTGTCAAAAATTCCAGATGCATTTGCAAAAGCTCTGCAGTACTTAGAAACATTTTGTACACAATTCTTGTCTATTTACAAGTAATTACTTGCAACATCAATTTTCATCAAGGCTAGAAGTATCTACTTCTCCAAGATTTGTAATTTTCTAGCATGTGCTATTATCCTTCTGCAGAATCTATATTTTTGTTTTGAACACATGCAGCTTCCTAATCCGGATGGCTACATCTTGCCATATGTGATCAAAGCATAAAATCAATGCTGTGCTGCAAATGCAGACAAGCAGCTGAAGTACCTCCCATGCCACTGGGATATATCCGGTTTTATAGTGTTACTTTGATAAATGGTAGAGACTGATAAGTGTGAGCCATTTCTCTCTCTCCTCTACTTTGGAAAGCTCCCAAAAAAAGCTCAAACACTTTTGTACTAGACGTAGGAGAGATGTAACTTATTAGCAATACCACCATAAAATTTGCAGTGATTCCTGCTGTAAGGATATAAAGACAGACAGAAGACATTGTTTTATCTTCCAACAATTAGACTCTGTATTTCATAATCTTCAAAGATATCCCAGTATCTCTTACCTAGACAGAAGACAAGACAGATAAAAACAGGTTTGGGGGAGAAAGTAACTTTCTAATCTTCCCCTCATATTTGGGACAGGTAGAACACACTGAATAGACACAGTCCTACTGGTAAAATGAAAAAGCAGAAGTGTAAGAGCAGAAGGAAAAATCCAACACATTGGGAAATAAAATAATGTGAGAGAGGCTCTAAGAAAAAACAGATTTAAAGACAACCTGTCTCTGCCTAATAGCAAATCTAAGGCTGTAAAAGTTTCAAAAGCAGTTAGAAGCAACAAGTCTAGGGATATTCACCTAGATACCAAGAGGCTTTCTTCCAATCTTTCTCAACCCATTCACAATAATTTTGACTTAAAATAGCATGCATAAACTGAATATAATTAATAACAGCAGCAGCATTCCAGTAACGATTTACATTCCCACCAGTTCCACCTCCTTACTGCATCATCCTAATGTGTCACTGGAACAAGAGAAATGGAAGCAACGCATTGGGGGTTATACTAATAGAATGACTGATACATTGGCACTTATCTTTGCCTGACCACCTGCAGTTACTGACCTGTCCATCATCAGTGTCACTGCCATGAAAAGTATATTCTACCAGGTTCTGATGTGGCTGCTCCAGCAGCAATGTCACTGCAAACAACTGCATGGATCACCACTGCTCCCACAGCTTTCCATCCTACAGCACAAACACACTCACAACAAAATATGGCAACTTGCCATACTGCTGCCATAACAACAATGTTCTTAAAAATTACTCTTGAAAGTACCAACCAATCCACAGCACTTCATCCAGGGCAAATCACTGTATCAAACTGCCCTCACCGGTTGTGTGGGTTTCCACATCCTTTTGTTTAGTTCTGTTTTCATTCCCTTGAAGTCTCAGATACGCTAGATAAAGAATTTATAGACTATCCTAGGAAAGTCTAATGGGTGGGAAAGAGTCTACTTAAGGAGTATGAGTGAGAATAAAGAACCATGAAGAGAGAGTAGACTCAAGATGCTTACATACTAGTAAGGACTTAAAATATTACAGAATATTACAATATTACAGTATACCCTTTGTTAAACTAATCACACAGATTTATTCTGAAAGACTAATTCTAATACGTATTAGGAAATGAGCTGAGTGACATACTCATGCCTTATTTATCCCGCTAGAAACAATAAGAGTACAGACCCTGCACCAACATACCCAGCACATACTCCAATGAAAGTGTGCACAGCTGGATTTATATAGCCTCCAAATATCCATTACAAACTATTGCTTAAAGTTACTCTCAGATGCATGTACAAATAAGACGATCTTTCCCGTCAAAACAAATATACAAATTAAACTGAGTATGAAAGTCTTCTGTCCCATATGGGTTTTACAGAGGGTTAAACGATAAGGCTTACAAGCCATCTCGGGCGCTAACCCAGCAGCCGCCTGCCAGAGGAAGCCGTCCTTCCCTCCGCTCCTGTCCCGCCACTGAAATTCACCCACCTCGTGGGCGCTCCGGCTCCCCAGAGCTCCCGGCTCCCCTCGGGCTGCCCCTCCGCAGGGAAGGACGCGCTCCCCAAGCCAATCCTCGAGGGTGCCGCTTCCCGGGCCGGGCGCTCCGCGACCCCCGAGCACGTGGTTGCACAGGGAAGGCGGTCCCGGGGAGCCCCGCAAAGAGCCCAGCGCGCCCCGCTGCGGGCCAGAAGATCGGCTCCGGCCGCGGCCCCG